ATGTTCTATTATTTTTAAAAGATTTTATTTTAGATGAACGAGCAGGCTCAGAACCGACGGTTCACTGAACAGGCCTGTGCATATGTTCGGGCCGGTTCAGGACCCTACAACCCTTGCCTCGGAATTGATGGTCTGACCCAAAACCGAGCCTGAAATCGGTTTCGGTCATGTCTATTGGGACTGCAATGTTTTCAAAAAAACGGTGTTCTAATCGACAGACTAACCTTAATTAAACTATGATATCATATAACCAAGTAATTAATTTTAATTTTAAAACTATTTAATACTATTCTTATTAATCGTATATAAGAACATAATAAAATTAAATTTTTAATAATATTTATATTATTTTATAAATATTTACCACAAATATATATATATGTATATATATTCATAATTTTATATATTTTAATAAAAAATAAGAAGTATAATGATTGAGTCAAATCAAGTTCACATGTAAGAGTTGTGCTTGGCTTGATCAATTTATTGAGTTGATAGGGGTCGAGTCCCTTGTTAGCCGGTTTGAAGGACCCATGTGGACTGGTCCCAACTCTAGAGCGACTGGGTTAATCAAGTCGGGCCTATCAGAGTCAATAACAATGGGGACTCACAATATCTGTTCGATTAATCGAGATTAGGAAGAAAAATGTTCGTACAAAAATTTGAAGAGTTTCTTGATGATTAAGGGGCATTCTATTGATATTGACTTTAAATTTGAAATCAAGCCACCAAAACCTTAAAATCACGTCAACAAAATTAAAACCATTATGCGGCAAAAACACATGTTTTTCACTGTTTGGCAAGTTAGGGCGGACATTCGATTCGAGAAAAAGACGTTTAAACCCTCGTGTCAACGTTAACTCATGTCAAAAGAAAATTCTAAAAATCTCTTTAATTAAATCAAGGATTAATTCGATAACAAATCACTTGAACTCCATATTAACTTAACACTAATCAAATTCAAACTCAACATAGGAGGAGATCTAATTGATACATTTACATTCGAAAATCCTATTCCAAATCTAATAAGACCATTGGCCTTGATTGAATGTTAGTGATATAGAGTAAAATTAAAAGATTATTCTCATCTAAAAGTTTGACTCGTCAAATCAACTAATTAACTTGTTTGGTAAAAAAATTATTTGATTAACATTGTGGGGTCAGGGGGCTGCTGTAGGTAACTAACAGCAGCCCCAGCAGTTAATTTTTAGCCTTAGATCACAAATAAATTAAATGGCAATCCAATGGCCAGGAAATAAGTGAAAAATTAAACATAACTTTCAACACTCCACACAAGACACTCTGCTCCTCCGCCATCCGATCGAACTCCCGGGCGCAAACCGGCCGGGCCCACCTCTTGTCGTACATGGAACTGATTATTCTCTGAGCCGCAACTCAGCAGGCCTGCGTCCGTCAAACTGAGAGCCCGACGAATCTCCGGCTATTGGCGTGGCCGTGAAAGTCCTGATCGGGCTACCGTTTTCCGGGCTCCACATAATTATGCTCCCGTCGACTGACGATGAGATCAGCTTATGGAAGTCGAGGAACCTTGTGTATGTAACGGGCCCACGGTGCCCGTTGAGCACGAGCGTTGGGCCCGAGGATATGGCCCGGAGGTCGTACAAGTAGACGACCCGGTCGAAGCAGACCGCAACCATGATCGGGCCCCCGGAAGGGTCGAACTCCACCCAGCAGACGGGGCTTGGACCATCTCGGCCCGGGCGAACGGTAGGGATGCAGCGACCGCCGTTGGGGCAGTGCGGGTCCCACATCTGGACGGTGCCGTCGTCGGAGCCGGATGTGTAATATCCCGAGATATTATTAGTATAAATTACGTTCAATTCCGATATAGTAACGTTAGTGATTATTAATTTCGGAATTGATTAAGTTCAGTCGGATTACCGAAATCGATTTTCGGCGTATCGTTTACGTCCGAAATAATTTTGGTAATTAAGTATTATGTTTAATTTAGCAATTAAACATAAAATAGGTGATTAATTGATATTAATCACGAGTTAAAGTTTGTTAAGCCCTAATTGCCGTCCATGACTTATGAAATTTTCCCAAAATAATTCCAACTTTGCCGTGGGTTCTTCAAGCTTAAGGAAGGCTTTATAACCAATCAAAATGTGAAATTTGTCATGTGTAGAGTTAGCTTACTCATCAAGAGCTTAAGGGAGGAATTAACAAGTGTAGTGTGCCCAAGAGGGCCACGCCTATGCATCGTCATCACCCCACCCGTGCGACCATCTATATAAACATG